GTCACACCCAACACACATTTATCTTTAACGTACTCGATCTCATTGGTTGCTAGACTTGAAAATTCTACATTTCATCAGAATACACCGGTAATCAACTCAGACGTGCACTTCATGTAAAGTCTGACAATCGTAACTTCGTGATTAAGTAGAACAGTACAATCAGGGATCTCGTAGAAGAAGGTTGTCTCGGACAACTATTAATAGCTTCTTGTAATCCACCACTTCTAATGGCATTATCTTACAATGAGAGAGAGAGAGAAGAAAACAAATAACCAGATATTTATTTATGACAATTTCCTTGCATGAAATTTGATTTATTCTAACAATCTCAGTAACTAAATTATGGTCTTTGAGGGATATTTTTCTAAGTCTATGACTAGTTTATTTGTTGGACAGTGTGCATACGAGTTACACTTACATACTCCAAAATGACGATTTATGATTCCCAAGGATAATTATGTTAAGTGGTTTAGATGAGTTAGTCTAAATAGAAATATGATCGAAGAATTGTACAGTCTTTGTGAGTGTATTTACTCTCGAGTTCTCAACGATTCACGTGTAGTCAAATAAGCCAGTACATTCAACAATTTGTAATGAATAAATACTTGTAATCTCATATTGTCTTTCGATGTAACATGATCAGGGTGTATATATATTTAGTTTTCGATGTAATATTGGTGGGCAGTGGAGTAATAATAATAATAATAATAATAATAATAATAATTATTATTATTATTATTATTATTATTATTATTATTATTATTATTATCATTATCATTATTTAAACGTTGATTATTAATAAGGCTAATGTAACGATTTGAAGTATAGTATAAACTAGCAATCCTAGGAATAGCGCAATTTAATCAAGAAGTATTAGATGAGCACGATCGAATGTACTGTATTTGAAATTCAAATCTAAACAGTCATCAATACAAAGGAATCATTGGTTCATTCAAACACAACACAGTCATCAATACAAACAAGTCATTGGTTCATTCGAACGCCACAGCTGATCACTGGTGTAGTCCATACTACGTACATCTACAGTCATCAATTATACAATAGACCAAATCATAACTTACATGACAAGTACTCTTTCACGAAAGCTTTTAGTTAATGTGTTCATACGATTCGAGGATATTTTAACATACTGTTTATCCTGTAAGTTAGGTGAGAAGAAGTGCGAACTTCTACGAACTTCATGTTTCAATTAGATTGCTTTTGTATGTGTGGTCAGGTTATGTGAAAATCTTTACCTGAACTACAAAAAACTTGTTAATTTGAAATGTTGATAGTTACTTGACGAAATATGACTTTTGTAGTCTTGGAACTGTAGAGGTGAAACCACTTCGACCTTACAATTCACCATAAATTCTAAAAAAAACATCCATACCACATCACCACGTGAATTTCTATAACTGTTAAATGTTATTTTCTTTAGATTTTACAAAGACGGCTCTCGTACTGGTCATAAATCGATTAGTACTCGTGACATATTTAATTTTAGCAGTCAAGTGTTTAAACTGTTCTGTTTCACTTAGTGCTTTTAACATTCATCTTGTTAGGTATTTTAATTTCATTTCAAGTCTCTATTTTCGCTACTACACTAGCTTTCTTACAAAATTTCAATTTTAATAGAAATTTGCTATAGATAATCACAAATATATTAAAGTTATCACCAAGTTATCCGTTATTGGGTATGACTGAGAATCTTGATGCTCCTATGAAAACGTTATTCTTTATTTCGCTTAACCAAAGCCAGAATTTATTTTCTATCGATTATTGCCAAAATGACTTGTTTATTTGATTATTTTCTTTTCAAAAAAAATAATAGCGATTAGCCTAATTTTCATTAAACGTAAAAACATTTGTAATTTTTCAAAGTTGAAATCATGAGTCAATTGAAGCTAGACCACCATGAAAAACCTTGAAGCACTGGACTACAATTACTTCAATTCACAGTTCAAAAACTTAAATTGAGATACCCGTTTAAGGGTTTTTTGAAAATTCTCATAAAATATCCATGTCAAAATACTCAAAAATGGTAGCTTGAAACAAATCAACTTATAGATCAAAGTATCTTTGACCCATTGAAACATTAATAAAATTTCATGTTAGAAATTTTGACTATGATCACTTGGCATGAATTTTAATGATATTGTTCAAAATATATAATTGACTGCCTTTTATTGATGTTCATAATTTTCAGAAAAACAACGGGTTTTCTGTTTACTGTTTGTCAGCAGTAGTGAGGATTAGTGACATTATTTTGTTGAGGAATAAGTTATTACATTTCTTAATTAAATGACCATTTCGTTTTAAATTCAATGATTGTGTTGATATTGAATGGAGTTGAAAAGTTTAATTGATATGAATAATAGTCCCTCATCAATTCAGTTTATGATTTAAACGAGAACAGTTAGTATATCACAGAAGTAAGTTAAAAAGAAAATTTTACTACTGAATCAGGTGAATAATCACTAGTAGTTTAACAAAACGTTACGTTGATGTTTATCTAATTATTTTATGCCTAATATGTAACCAAGTGGTACTATTCTGAACATGTTGTTCTATTAACATGGTCTCAGGTTATCTAATTTCGGAACTACTCATAGTTCTTCCTCTTACTGACAACGAGTAGAAATTTTACAATTCGTATTTCTGCATGATGTTTGTATTTTCTGATTGGTTTTCTACGTGTTTCAGTGTCATGATTTGCTAGAATGTATACGTAACTGTTACATTCTAATTTTTCTTCAAAATATCGGGTCTTTTTCAACACTGTCTCCTTCTTTTAGGATTTTCATTATCGACAATTATTGTTCATGAGCTATTGGTAAGTTGCTACTTTGTTGAATTAGGAATAGATTCCATTTTTCATTAAAATAATTTGCAAGTAGTGATTACCGAACAGAGATAAGTAGAAATATATAAAATGTATTTAAATAACTATTTGATTTCATGATAACTTCACTCAGTCAGTTAATTGTTCAGGGTTTCCATTATCTATCATTTCGATATTAAAGAATTGATTTCATGTGCAAAATCACCAATCAAACCATTCACTATAACTATGTAAAAGGTCTTAATTAATTATCTAGGGTGTCATTACAAACCATTTTTTGAAGAGTTGATGACAATATTTAGGACTAAGAAATAGGTTATTATAAAATTAATCAAAATAAGATTATTATTCTAATTTGCTAATCATAAAATTAGACTTTTAATTCATTATGTAGTAAGTATTCTTCTTTACAGAGGTGAGATTTAATTGTTTGTTTTTCTCGAATTTTCTTTGAGAAAATCGTTTGGATTGATTTTGACGTAGACGATTTATATAGAAAAAAGACTTATGTGTTCATCTTGAAGTTTTGTGTGACGAGTTAGATTGCTTTTTTAAAAAACAATCTGTTGAATTGCTTTCACTACTTTTCTAGGTTGTCAATGTTTGTAGTTCACTTATTCACGTATCAGAAAAGTATTATTTTGCTTCTCGGATGCAGATATCCATAATTAGAGGATTCCCTAAAATACTGAACATGAAATGTTCTATATAATGTAATTTATAACACCCATTTATATGAAAGGATTTTGAGTTAAAAAAAATAAGCATATGAAACAAACCATATGTGTTGTGTTATTCAAATCTTTGTGCTGTCAGAATTGTAAGCAAACTGAAATGGAAACTGAGCATAGTGCATTGCATTGGTATGATAACAATACTTCTATCAATGTTTTTCGAATGAGGTCAACAATGGATTTTAGGCATAATATAAATAATAACGAATATTCCATAGTAGACCATCTGTTGACTGTTAAAAGCTGTGTTTACGAATAAACTTACATGGTAAAAAGAACAGAGACTAGAGAGAAAGGAAAATCAAACACGTTTCATCTATTTGAAAATTTTATTCTCAATCAACACAAATCATAAACAGCAGTATAAAATCTAGAGAAAACAACATTTAACAGTTATAGAAATTAACGTGGTGATGTGGTATGGGTGTCTACCTTAGAATGTATAATGAGTTATGAGATCGAAGCGGTTTTATCTCTAGAGTTCCAAGACTACAAAAGTCATATTTCGTCAAGTAACTATCAACATTTCAAATTAACAAGTTTTTATGCAGTTCAAAGACTGTACAATTCTTCGATCATATTTCTATTTAGATTAACTCATCTAAACCACTTAACATAATTATCCTTGGGAATCATAAATCGTCATTTTGAAGTATGTAAGTGTAACTCGTATGCACACTGTCCAACAAATAAACTAGTCATAGACTTAGAAAAATATCCCTCAAAGACCATAATTTAGTTACTGAGATTGTTAGAATAAATCAAATTTCATGCAAGGAAATTGTCATAAATAAATATCTGGTTATTTGTTTTCTTCTCTCTCTCTCTCTCATTGTAAGATAATGCCATTAGAAGTGGTGGATTACAAGAAGCTATTAATAGTTGTCCGAGACAACCTTCTTCTACGAGATCCCTGATTGTACTGTTCTACTTAATCACGAAGTTACGATTGTCAGACTTTACATGAAGTGCACGTCTGAGTTGATTACCGGTGTATTCTGATGAAATGTAGAATTTTCAAGTCTAGCAACCAATGAGATCAAGTACGTTAAAGATAAATGTGTGTTGGGTGTGACGAATTCTCAAGAAGCATCATTGCTGTACTACATGATGTGTAGCAGTGAAATCAACAAACAAGCATTTACATCATGAAATGATTAGTCGATCATACCTGCCCAAACACGAACAATGAGTTGGTACAAGCAGTTCATACATATAAACCGTCAACGCTACTTGAAGTCTTGGTAATTGCAATGAACAGAGAACAACGCCTATGTTTTCAGCTATGATATGTAGACAAGATTTTCGAAAATGTAGTCACAGTTCAACAAAACAGATGTACGAAACAATGACAAATATTCACAACATCAATCAATAATTATCAATTTATTACAATAATGCTACTCTACAAACATTTGCTGAGACAATACAGAAAGCACTTGTATGTAGGAAAATATGAAATTATGAAGAGTAAAATGAGAAGGCGATCGATGAATGAGCGAACACAAATGCACTCAAAAAGATAGAATGTTTGTTCAATCAAACTGTATTTTTGATAAACACGTCTCACATGCATGAATAAATAATGTTCAGAAATAATAAATCATCATTTAGAATTACGTTATCACTTGTCTGTCTACTATACACACTTGGTTCATCCATCAAATATCTTCACCTATTACATCCCATCGGACACTACAAATACAACTATTCACAACCAGTTGACGTGAATGAAGCTCGTGCTCATCAGATTGATAACCAGCAAATCCGATCTGTCATCCTGTATGTTACTGGAATATGTGTATTGATTTTGGGTGATCTCTTACTGAGCTACTCTGTGTTGTATTTAGTCGTGAGGCATGTGTGCAAGTCAGTGGTTCGAACAAAGGAGATGAATGTTTGTTGCCTCACAAATAGTTGTTCAACAACACTGGATGATTTTCATGATAAGTCGATATAGGTGACTCAGTGTTGAACAGGATTCACCTGATAGATGTATTGTTGTAGTGATCTCGATAAATGTTTGATTGTTAACATTTGAACTGTGCTTTTCGAATTTGATTTCACTGGGTTCTTGTGCACCATTTTGTTTTATGTGAACAATAAATGCAATGACAGCATGCATGTCTTCTTCCAAGATTTTTGAATGTGGGTTCTGTCTTTGTGAAGCAATCAGTCTAATGAGTCGTTTGTTTATCTCCTGGTGATGGGGAATGCGACTTGAGAAATAGTTTGTTTTATGTTTACTTGATCAAATGGTATCAAAGTAAATTTTCCCACTGTTGGGTAGTCAACGTAAGAGGACAAGTGTGTGACTGCGTGAAATGTAGGGGTAATTATTGGAACACGGAAGTTTTGATATATGATAGTGTTAGTTGGATTACTACTTGCAATTTCATAAATGAAATGGAGTGGGTGCATTCGAGTGTCACATCTTGAAATGGATATTAGATTCATTAATGACTAAACATTTATGTGTATTGGCCATGCCTGTACGTCACACCATTATATGTTGTGATTATGTGGAACCTTGTTGCTCTGACTTTCAATTATTCCCTTCAATCGGCTGCCAATTATTTTACTTGTAAATGACATCGAGTCGCGATTGACTGTGATCACCACTACAGAAAAATTACGCGACAAGTATTGACGTGGATCCCTCAATAGGCCAAACTACGGAAGGCAGTTTATGGTTGCAGTAAGATGTACTTGTTAGCGATCTCGTAGTATCGAAAGAATACCGAGACGTGTCAAAGATTTTTCCTCCATTTAGAATCATTTAGTTGAAATTGGTCATAAGGTTGACATCAAATCAGCGTTTGTAGTGTTGTACAAAAGCCTTCAAGTACGTATACTAAGGTTTATTGAAGCCTTGGGTATACGGAAATTGAAACCCCCTTTTTGTGTTCAAAACAATTTCTTCTTACCCTTAACCTACCCTGGTAACGCCGATTTATTATCCAGAGTAGTCATCACACTGTTTTGTGTACTTTATTTATTTTCTTAGCTTAACCTGTCTGGTTGACCTTTTAATTTCATATAAAAATGTCATAACAAGTATATGTGTGATTAGATTGTTCGAAATGTATTGCGCTAATATATCACATAATTCTGATAAACTTCGTCTTCTCATTGTATTATCGAAATTTATCAAAGGGATTAATTGTTTCCATTATATCAATCTCGTTCTCGTCACCAAAGTATGTCATTACATACTAATGGTGAATTATCCTCTCAGGAACTCTCGTCGTTCACATTATCTCAGCACAACGGATTGCAGATTACTGAAAACGATAGGATACAAAACCAAAGAAATAAAGTGGATACACTTCTTTCACATGGTTCATAATCTTGTCAAGGCTAGAAAGATATTTAAAGATTCTAAAATCATATTGCATATTGTAGAAGAACTCATCTATATGGCTCCGTGATAGTCGATCTCCAGAGTCACGATAGGGTCTGAAATAGTTATTCAATCTTGACCACGTAGCTCCAATATTATTTGTGTTTACTCTGGTTGTGTAAGCGTATATCTCTATAATACTCACACCACACCGAAGCCTCAGTGGCATCTGCGAATATTGCATCCAATGTTACTGGTGCCTTTATTATACAGTTTGCAACAAATACTATAATTTGTCTTAGTCTCAATGTAGATCGAGTGGAGAAAGTTCCTATTATGGCATGCCTCTTACAACATATATTACATAAAAAGACATCATCACGTCAGTCTGCACAATGTCTACATTTAATGTGATTACCGTATTTACGAATAAAAGAACTTTTAAGTAGTTCCATATATTTGTAAAGGCTTAATTGTCACGTCTTCTCTAAAATCCTCTGTGGATCGATCGTTCATGAGCATCAGGTACTGCAGTTGGCGCCGTGATATTGAAACTTCTGAAACGCTTCTGATTGGCCTGTCCATAAATTAGAGTCTCGCCAAAAGTCAACACATTTCTTAGCCAATGAAACACACATGTCGTTTAGGCCACTTCCGATTGCCGTGTATGTTAGAGTGAATAATATTTTGTCATGTTGTAGCAACTCGCTACTCAATACAAACAAGATGGAAGATTACAAGTAATAGGTATACAATCTGGGAGTAGTACTGACAATACCAACAGATTAAGTTGTTATAAAGCTCTTAACGATACATCATCACTGAGAATAATTGTCGTACTTTGAAATATGGTGCTTTGACCCTGACACACAGTGCCAGGTTATTCTGCCCTTATGGAGTTGAAAAGTCAAAAAGCAGCTTTCATTTCGATAATACAGTGACCAATATTGTTGATATACTTGTCTCATTGACAGAGTGTTTTCATGGGATAGGAACTAATGTTGCTTTCATTGGTGTGTGGGACTAGCACAAAAGAAGTCTATCTGCTGATGCTGCAACTAAAATGACATGCATTATTATGAGGCATGATATACTGTAAAGAATATTATGAACCGGAAATATCATCATTGTATCAACTTCACGGGCAAATAAGCATGTAATATGATACAAATAATGAAAATTTGCAAATGATGTAATCACTCTATGGTTCTCATAGTCTAGTTAATTGATAAGGCGAGATAGCTTGTCTAATGAAGATTGGGGTTATAGGCTAAAAGTATTGATCATAAGAATTCTCTGTCATTTCAGTGAGCAGAGTTCGGTCTGTAGCTGTAAATAATTCCCCAAAATCAATAGCTCATTAAGTGTTCGACATTGGATGCTGACCACGTTGTTTAAGTGGACTTGTTTAGCTGAAGGCTTTCAGTCATGCATCCGCACCAGATCACGTTTCAATACTGCGTGGGACACAGCTCCTACGTTTCATTAGCCAGCTCATAGAAAAGGTCCTCGATATATTGGTAACGAATCAAATATATCTTTCCTGCCTCTTCTCGTTTGACTTCTGATTTTCTATCTGACTGGGAACGATCAAATATAGGAGGTGCTACTGGTAGCTAGTTGTAAAACTAGAACATCCGTGGTATCCTCAGTGGTGAGACCGACGTGATCTGGTACACCAAGTCAATATACTGTGAGTCTGTTCCATTTTGGAATATTATGATTCATTGTCATTCTTCATTTGAATTTTATATATTGTGATATACTTTTTTTCGCGAATTTTTTTCTCGGATATATTTTAATTAGACACTTTTCGTTATCTATATTACTATGACGGAACACTCTCCTAAGGTTCTTAAGTTTAAGTCTATTCCCCCTATTTCGATTCAGTTAACGCCATTTTGGCCCGACAATATCGAGTCCTGGTTCTGCTATGCAGAAGCCGATTTTTGCATGCACGGAATCACGGACTCGCACACACGTTTCCTCGCGGTAGTTAAGGCGTTACCGCGCTAGTTTAACAGGTACGTAACACCTAGTATGTTTACTAGTGATGTTTCCGAACCTTACGAAACGCTTAAGCTATCAATTTTAAAACGAGGAGACCTAACTGATCGACAACGGTTAGACCAACTCCTTAACAATATCGACTTGCAACATGGTTCTGCGACGGACATGTTGCTTAGAATGAGAGAAGTCATCGGCCAACGAACTTTTGATGATGGCCTATTTAGACAACATTTCTTGTCTAAACTCCCTCAACAGGTGCAGGCAGTGCTTGTTTCATTTCAAAACAATGCCATAGATGAACTAGCTGCATCTGCCGATCGAATCTTGGAAATCACCAAATTTTCTAAGGCCGAGGTTTTTTCCGTCAAAGAAAAACCCCAATCGACCTCGACTGACATGGCCGAACTATGTCACACGCTTACACGATATCGTAGAGTTCGCAATGACCGTAGTCGGTCAAAAACCCCGCGTAGAAGCGCCTCACGTAAGCGATCTGGCTCTCGACCACGAGAGACAGACAATCCCGACTGGTGCTGGTATCATAACCAGTACGGTAAGTTTTCCAGAAACTGCAGGAAACCTTGTAATTATCCGACCCCAAAATCGAGTGACACGAAAAACAGTTCGGGAAACTTCCGAGCCGGTAGGCGTTAACGGCAACCGTAGCCGGCGAACACAGCCGCCTCTTATATGTCACGGATGTGACTAAGAAAGTTCGCTACCTCGTCGACACTGGCGCAGAAGTTAGCGTTCTTCCAGCGAATTCCTACGACAGACTTCGCGAGTCTGTTTTAAGTTTACAGGCGGCAAACGGAAAGCCGATCGCTACTTACGGTAAAAGGTACGTCTACCTTAACGTGGGTTTACGTAAACCCATACACTGGATTTTCGTGGTTGCAAATGTCTCTATGCCAATCATTGGTATTGACCTGTTACAACACCACAATCTACTCATCGAAACACGCGCACGAAGGTTAATAGACGGAAACACTAAGTTGTCCGTTTGCGTAACTCCTTGTTCTGGTTGCAGGTTATCCCCAGTCACGATTAAGCACGCCATAGACCCCTTGTACCAATCAGTACTCGACAAATACCCCGGGATATACCAATCGCAATCGAAATTACCTTGTGTAACCAGCAATGTTACGCATCACATCTCGACTACAGGACCACCTGTATTTTCGAAAGCCCGAAGACTCGCTTCCGAAAAACTTAGGTTAGCTGAAAACGAATTCAACCACATGATGGACCTAGGAATAATTCGACCATCGAATAGTCCATGGGTATCCCCATTGCACATGGTCCCTAAAAAGGACAGCAATGATTGGCGGCCAACTGGTGATTATCGGCGTCTGAATGCTAAAACCATTCCCGATCGTTACCCACTGCCTCATATTCACGATTTGACAGCTACCTTGAAAGGTACAACTGTCTTTTCGAAAATCGACTTGGTTAAAGCTTATAACCAAATCCCGATGGCACCTGACGACATTCCTAAAACCGCCATCATCACTCCCTTCGGTCTTTATGAATTTCTACGAATGCATTTTGGTTTAAGAAACGCTGTTCAAACCTTCCAAAGGTTTATAGACGACGTCTTTCGAGGTCTCAACTTCGTACATGCGTATGTTGATGACTGTCTAATAGCAAGTCCGGACAGAGAATCGCATCTCAAGCATCCGGACATTGTTTTCGATCGACTCCAAAAGCATGGCATTACTGTCAACATACAGAAATGCCAAATCGGAACAAACTCCTCAGACTTCCTAGGACACACCATTGATGCTCAAGGCATCCGACCCCTTAGGAGCAAAGTGGCGGCCATTCTGGAT